ATTTCATTAATAGATTTATGCGCCAAAGCTAAATGTACTAATGTATTAAGCTTATCTTGCTGTCAAAGACTTCTGGATGAACGATGGCACGGGGTTTTGATTTGTTTGCCTATATGGATGAGATGGACATGCAAATTTTTCCCTGTGGCTGGGCTCTTTTATTTTGAATACAGGACGAAAAAAGAACTTAAACGTGCAGAGTTAATAAGAAATATAACAGCCAATGCAGCATTAGGGGGTAAAGTGACTCCAAACTTACTCAGTGATTCAACAGGTCGTACAGAATCAAAATCTACTGGGAATATTATAGCTAAAGTTTTCCCTGCCACACCTCAATTACCTAACAATCCATTAACCATAAAGCGCACAAAGCCACTGAAAGTTCAGAACACCATCTCTGTTCATTCATCTCAAGGCCCTAAACCACATGTAAGTATTTACGAACGTATGTCAAATCAATTTGGATGGACCTCTTCACCAAGGTTCCATTTTGTTACAGGAGTTTATTTGTCACCTTCAATGAAATTCTGCCTGCACTCTTTATTTCATTTATTATTCTTGATGTTGTTTTCAGTTGTATGTGTATATAATCTACATTTTTCCTGTAGTCGAATGGAAGTAGTTTCTTTATCTTATGTATTGGGTTATGCATTTGAAGAGTTAAGACAGCTGATACTTGAAGCATCTCGAGATGGATTCAGTGATTATTTTAGAGATGGTTGGAATTGGATCGATGTGTTTGCAATTACTTTGACATTTATTGGATTTTGTACAAGAATGAATGTGGTAAATAAACATGGATCAGAATTCGAAGAAGCTCATGATGTTATACTTTATACAACTCGAAATCTTTATATGCTTGGTCTAAATCTTTTTTACATGAGAACTCTACATATTACTTCAATTTCACCAATTATTGGTCCACGACTTAAAATGATGGCTGATATGTTACGTAAAGATTTGATACCATTATTAATAGTATTTGCAATTTTCATAGTCTCTTATGGAGTTTGGTTTCAAGGATTAATATATCCAAATAGTTTTTATGAAACACATGGTCAACGTCAAAATAAGCATTTAATGAACAGCACTGAATTATCACGTCAACGTGATATGCAGAGACTTGGAGTGCTTATGTCATTTAGTGAATTATTTCGTCGCGCCTTCTATAGTATATTTGAAGTGAGTATTGTTTTAGAAGAAGAGACATGTGAAGATAATAAATATTGTGGCAGTGAATTAGGATTTAATACAGTTATATTTTTTGTTCTGGTGCTATACGTTGGAATTGTTAATATTATCTTAATCAATCTACTTATTGCGTTGTTCAGTAATACAGTATCAAGAATTGATCAAAAGTCAACAGCACATTGGTTAGCTGGACGTTATAAAATGGTTAAAGAATATAGTGAACGAACATTATTACCACCACCATTCAATACATTATGCATAATTTATGAATTATTTCGTTGTTTCTATATTGGTACTAGTCAATGCTTTTGTAAGGATATAAAATTTCCATTTGGAAGAAATAAAAAATTGTTTAAAACTGAGTCAAATGATGACTTGGAGGAGCAAGAAAATGAATCACCTGATGAAGAGAATAGTAATTTGAAAAAACATTTAACTAGAGAAAACCAACTAATTAAAATTAAAGAAGAGAATAATAGACGAATTAAATTATTAATGGGTGAATCAGATGATCGTGGTAAATTATATAAACAAGAAATTGACGCCGTATTAAAATTCATTTTAATACAAAGTTTTGCATTACAAAATAGTAGGCACACATTGGGCACAGGAGTTAGTTTTAGAGGACCATATACCAGTCAAAATACAAGCAGTTCTGATGGAACAACTAATAATGAAAGTATACAATTACGTAATAATCAGATAGATAGTCGATTAGAACGTATTGAAGCTATATTAGAAAAAGTTGTTGATCGTGTAAATCAAATTAAAATAACTGATACATTATCAACTCAAGAAACACCAACTATACGTTCACCTGTTCCTATACGTATGCCATCTGTAAAATTGACTCATGCACCTACTGATGTACAGTTTACAGCTACAAAAATTCCAACATCAAAAGAATTATTTCAACAACTTAATGATGAATTTCGAAATGAAACTGAAACAAATACACAATCTCTTAGCAGTAAACCACCATCTATCAAAATACAAAAATCATTATAAGACACTGTAGTTTATTTTTTGAAAAAAAAAACTCTTAATAACCTATGCAATTTAATAAGCACAATAAAAACTTGGTTTCTTTCTCACTATATACAGAATACAGGCAAATCTAAAATATCTATGATATTCATACTTTAGAGAATTATTTTCTAGTACAGTTACTATTTATTCTTTAAGAAGAAATATTGGGAACAATTTAACAAAATGAAAGTAATATGAAATGTAATGTCATAAACAATTGAAATAAACATTAGAATTTCGATAATGCAATAAGAAGACAAAGTTTATTAGAATGATGTGATATATTTGCTCAATACATTTCGAACAATCTAATCACACATAATACACTTGTTAAGAACATTTGTTATATGAAAATTAAAAGATCAACTAGACAGGTTAAGGTAAGCCGTAACAAAGAAAAAAATAATCATAAAGTACACAAAAACAAATGTGATTATCACTTTAATATTTTTTCCTTTGTTATGACTTACCCTTAACCTGTCTAGTTGACCTTTTAATTTTTCATATATAAATGTTCTTAACAAGTATATGTGTGATCAGATTGTTCGAAATGTATTGCGCAAATATATCACATAATTCTGATAAACTACGTCTTCTCATTGCATTATCGAAATTTATCAATGGGACTAATTGTTTTAAACATTAGAATGTTGTTTTTTTTCTGAAAAAAGAAAAGAAAAGAAGAAATATTATCTAGTTATTCATCCATGATTTTTCTTTCTTTCTTTTTTTTCTTTCATTTATTCTTTTATTAATAAAGAATCAATAATTCCATTAAATTATTCATTTAAATAACATGTCTATGTAATAGAGATGTATATGAAAACAGATGAACTAAATACAATATAATTTTAATAGATTAATTAATCAGGGATAGATATTAAATATTCATTAAATATTACATCATTTTAATCAAAATGTATATCATGCATTAAAGAATAGATCTGTTTTTTTTATTTATTTATTGATTTGATTGAAATAAATAGTTTATTAATTTTTTTGGGGGGGGTGAGCGGGAGGGGGTCGAGTGGTGGTGGGGTAGGTGGGTTAAAACTATTTCAATTGTACCATCATTTTAATCTATGATATAATAATACTATTGTATATTCTCTAATGATTTACTGATATATATCTATTTCTTAACAAAATTATATTCAAGTTAAATATCTCCTTTTTACAAATTAGTTTGATCAATTATTTTTTGAGAAAAAAAAGACAAAAAAAAGAGAGAACTTATTGAATCGTAGAGTGTCAGTTACTATTGTATCTTTATGTGTTACATGTTCAATTGTATATTTAATGATTAACAATAAATTAAGTTGGTGATATTATCAAGGTCTAACTTGATAATTTTGAATAAATTAAGCATTGGGTAGATTATGTACAAAGATGGATAGTGGTTAGCAGTGGAATCTATGACGCGCGTTTCGTCCTATTTTGGACTCATCAACTGGATGTACCTGCACCTCAGAGTTAATGTTCACTTTAGTGCTCCAACTCACTAGCGTTTGCTTCAAATGCCATTGCGCTATCTACTTCGCTACTGAGTCCTTGCATATAATGCTTATGAATTAAGACTATATCGAGGCAATCTGCACAGTTTTCATTGTGAAAGAAAAGATCCGAGTTTATACAATATTACTAGTAAATCTCTTTTCATATTGATAAAATTTAGTCACTCAGAACATATAAACATAAACCTGCATATATACACTTATTTATTGAGATTATTTAAGATCGCTTCGTGAACTATTTCCATAGTCTCCTCTATACGAACAATTACTGTGTTGATTATAGAAATTAGAAAGCTGTAAGACGAAGGTATGTCTCAATTGGCTAGTCTTTGGTAATGGTTAGATCTGTAGAAAATTTTGTCGTAAAATTAGTAATCTATTGTTTATGACCTATTCTTTTAGCTCATGAGTTGACTAGTTTTATCTCATAACATATATCGATAGGTTTCGACCTGTAAAGCAGATTTTGGAAATTCCTGTCTGGTGTAAAATTCTTCTAGTCCATAATGATTCTTACATGTAAGTGAACGAACCATGTTATTTTGCAGGTAAACCGTGTTTAGACGAAGTTTGTTGACAATTTCTATTCCTGAAAAGATATTTATAGTTGGCTTGCAAATACTGATCCTGAGCTTTTTGATACATAAATTTTGGGTAAACATTGAACTGTCGTCAATGTCTTTCTAATTCCCAAGAAGCGTTGATTACATGTTGGCAGATAAATTAATTTATGTTGTTTAAAACATTATTTTGCTTGTTGTTCAAGGATGTAACTAACTGTTATTTATTAGCTATAGCGCACATAACAGTTTATTTAGTTACTGAAGCAGTAACGTTATGTTTAGGGTTGTCGGTATATATTAAGATGATACACAGACATTAACTTCACAGGTGGCCTTACTGAGACAGAGTAAATTTCGTATGCAGGAAATCGTTCGAACTATTCCTCTTACTATGGTTTATTGGAAGTCTTAATGTGATAAATTGAAAATGAGGCTAAGGAAAAAGACCAACAAATGCGTTCACGTAGTGAGCAGTGATCAAAGTACGCCAATATGACAAGTGCTGTTTCCGAGTCAAGTATTTTATAACCAACACAAGTAAAAATTTCCTAACTCCCTAAGGCTGATTCATCATTTTCTTTAATTTTGGAATATTGCTGCCACAAAAAGTGAAGATAATGCTGATCAAATAGCTGTTAGAGCCTCTGCACGAAAGGATCTTGAGAGGCGGGGCTATCGTTGACCTGGTGTTGAAACACGATGATGACATTTAAGAGATCTTTTTATCACAGTTGTGACAACTGAGAATATTTGCCGATCAGTGACTGATTATCACTCAAATGAACCCCTTGGCAAATTTATAGAAAGCAAAAACAAGGTTTCTCGAATACGATGAATTTATTACATTTCTTTAACAACATACAAGCTAATAATTTTGATGAATCTAATATTTTAACAGAATTAGGATTTACGAAATTCACTAAATAAAAGTAAATTATGAGGGGAGTGAAATCGGAAAGTTTTGAAGAAGTTTCTGTAACATTTCAGTTAATTTTATTGCATAATTACAAAGGAAATATCTAACATGAGGGAATATACGTTTTTAAACCAAACACATCGGGTTGTGCTCATAATTACGCAAACTTTTTTTACCACCATTACTTCGAAAGGCGTTGATTACCAATGTTTTCTAATAAAACAGAGTAGAGTTTCACCGAAATAATGTTTTCACACTACAAAACAAAATTTGTGAAAGGTATTGTCAATTGTAAACGTTTTCTAATAGATATACTTCTGGATAGTTTGGAAGCTACTTTCTCGACAAGCCTCATTTTAAAAAAGAGAAATGTCATCCCTCCCAACTCTTTATTGTCGTTTTGGTATTTGAACGAATTCCATGAAAAGGTTCGACTGACTTATTTGTATAACATACGGATATACAGCCATACCATTTTAGTGTAATTTAAGTTAGTTGAATTAATATTATACACAAACATGGATTACTAAGATACTCGGGTTTTTTATTCATAGTATGTTTTACTCTTTTACTTCATATCATTTGAATTGCTGAATTTTACTACTTCCTAGTTTTAAGTGTGTGTTGTACGATGCAATGGATTTTTCAATGGCAAGAGAAGTTGGCAATCATAATTATGCATTGTAAACGGTTAGCTAGATTTGTTGTCTAAAGTACTTATTGTAACCAATATTCTATGGGATTACTGAAATGATAGTTCTCAATAACCTTAGATGATACTAACGCTAAGCTAATAAACACAATGATTGATACCATAATAAATCAGTCACTTCACAACTGAGCACTTTTTAGGAAACAAACATTAAACAACGATAGTAATAGTGATAATAATAGTAATAAATCATATTTACAATGTACATTTGAATTATACAATATACCTTAAAACATAATATCACTAAAAAAGAAGAAACATTGTCCTGTCAAGATAAAAAAAATAGAAGGGAATAAAATCATCATCGACGTCTTTTATCGCGCATATAGTTTTTGAATCGTTGAAGTGCAATATTATCTGTGGATTTTTCGTTACGAATATGTGGTCGGCTATCTGCAAAAAATATACATATATAAATGGGAAGGCAATAAAATTTATATCATAGATGCTTATGAGATATGACAATTAAAAAGTTAATTATAAAGTCTTAGATGGAAAAAATTTAATGATCTAGTAATTGTTTTAAGAAAAAGTTACTTGAAATGTATGGTTAAATGCCAAGCTGAAATAGTGGTCTAGATGTTAGGTATTTGAGCGCGGGACAGAGTCTCGGGTTCGATTTCCGACTCAGTAGTTTGAGTGGTTGGATTTTCTCCAAACCTGAAAGCTCAGAGTGCTATTCCTGGTGTGGTCGGGGATACGAATTGTTTAGGGGTCTCATACTGGGGAATGAGACAGCTGTCAGAGCTTTCTAGTTTTTAATGGTATCCAAACCGAGATCAATTTGTGATGAAAGCAACCTACTAACCTAAGCCAAATTAAACGTATTCAAAATTTCACTACACTGCGACTTTTTGTTTCTTGTCTGTATCAACGACAAATAAGAACAGAAAGATGAATCTCGATAAACTTACTATCTAAACGACGATTTTCCCTTTGAGGAGACATCGGATTATTTTCCGTTGATTCCAGTTTGTTTGTATTATTATTGGCTATGTGGTTGAGTTCTCGTTCGTTGTTCAAATCAGCTCTTTTACTGATTCCATTTGTGTAACTATCTATATTTTTTAAATGAAAATTTACAAAGAAAATAGGAAAAATTTGTTGATTCATACTTTATAACACTAGTATTAGCAATATATTTTCGACAGCTTAAACAAGTGAGTAGTGTCCCACAAATAGGCGTAATAATTAACATAAATATTATAAAATTTAATGGGGATCTTGGCAAGGATTTTGTCATCTATAAAGAAAGTAGAGAATTCTGATATCATCTATATGTCCAATATCATGAAAATGAAACTTACAACTATTTCTTTTGGTAAAACTCAACGTAGATTTTTTATAATACTGGAGAACTTTAAATCTTAACATATGAAGTCTTGGCATGATTTTAGGTTGACTCATATGATTCCAAATAAACAGGAAATAAACTCCTGGAATTACTTTGGGCCACGAATCCATCGTATAACAGCTTTAAATACCATTTGGTTTAATATGGTTGTTTTATTGATACAGACTTAGCACCAGAAACAATCAATAAGTTTGATTAGAAGTTGTTGATATCACCCACCAGAGCACATGAAAGTATCAGGAATAAAGTCGATACCATTGACCAATAGTTAGGTTAAATATTCCGAAGACTAGGTCAAATTGTTTGACTCAACCTTCGTGAAAATAAAAAGCTTGAGCACCTATACTTCTGTCAGAAGGCTAGAAATGTTAAGATACCAGTTTACGATAAAGGAATTAAAATAGTTTTCAAATTTCTAATTAATTCATCTATCAAACACTTCAGTATGAGGCATATTCCAAGTGAGAACTAATGGTATTATCTGGTTGTTCAAAACAAAGTAGGCAAGATAAGGTTTGAACTTAGGGTTTAGGGGATGAAAGTAAAACTTTTTAACCATTAAACCACCGGTCAAGCAACCAAGCCAATGATAATTTTAGGCATCAAATTAAATATCGGGTATATTGTTGGATATAGTGTAGAGACTAGTTTCAGGTGAATAAAGTGCACACCCGAAATATTAAAGAATAAGGCATCAAAAAAATGATAACTTATTGAACTAATACAATGTTAACTTTGACTAACACGCGATTATTCACGTCTGAATGCTAATACAGAAGACGTCGCCATGCTGTGATCTACGAAACAAGTGTTACCTAATAAGATGACTAGAAGTTTTCACAGAAGTGATATGACCCCTTACTTAGCTACCTCGAAAAATAAACACTTCATAACATTGATAGCAGTGCAAGTTCCTTTTTTTCCTTTTACTAGCATGCGACAAGGAAAGCTGGGCTTCTAGTCACCTTGTGGTATATGCTACTTATGTTGACAGATATAAGTAGTGGAATGCCTGGCAGCAGGAGACTGAGAAGATTGCATCAAAGAGAACAGGAATGTAAACACAGAGCAATTGTAATAACAACAGAATTGAGGGAATCATAAAGCATGTAAAGGACAACTGAAGATATATATATATATATATATATAGTATTTCATCTATGGTTTCCATAAATTTGAAAAAAGACTAATTCTGCATTAAACAATAAATTGGTGTTCCCCCACCTGAGTTCTTGTTCACTACAACCTAACTCCTTATGTTTTCTAATATAAATATTTGATGTATACAATCGTAATATTGACAAATTAAAAGACGCATGAAGAGAAAGCAGCAAAGACAATCAGATTGACTATAATATAAATGTTGGTAATACGGAATATCTTACTATATTATACTTTATAGGTTCTATGAAATATGAACAAATAAATCTGGAAGCCACACGTGAATAGACAGCAAACATTAACTCACTCCACCGACTGTGCTGAACGAAATTGACTGCCATACTAGTTGGTGCTATGTGATCTGTTGAATAACCATGTTTGCGACTTAATCTTTTTCTAAAAAGTGTTTGTTTGGCTTCTTCTGTGGCTTCTATGTTCTTCATTTTCGCTTCTACACCCAAATCAACTTCAGGGATACCACATAACATTTGGTTGGATAACATGTCTTCCTTCTGTTGACCAATTGAAGGTTTGAGATACTCAGGAACATCCTGTAGTAAGTCTGAATCTTCATCCCTAAATCAAATACGGAGAATTTAGAAACAAAACATGATGAGAATTAGCATATATAGTTGTTTGGAACATAGTTGTATTAAAATAATTTCAATAACAGGTATTGGATTTTGACTACATTTCAAACACTAGTAACCTAACCAGTCTACTTTTTAACAATGAAATGAAAACTAATTCAAAATATATGTGACACGATGGGTCACATATAAACTAATTATGAACATTTCTAAGTTTGTGAACCTTAATTTATAAGCATAGGCTACGTAACTAACGCCTTTTAGATAACTATTGACGAAAACAAATAGAGATGGAAAAGAATTCATTCTCCATAAAGTTAAAAAGTGATTAAATGCAAATTGGACAGCTAATGGAAGCATCCAACTTCAAGAACCTTAGTAAGCAGAAAAGGGCTCGGGTCCATAACTCATTAAAGTAGGGGAAAGTGAGCTGAAAATAAGCTACAATATTCATGTACAGGAAAACCAGTATGGACAATCGAATGTATTAAACACTAAATTACAGGACTTGTTAATAAAATCTAACCCGACCGTTGTTGCTACCTTGACGTGGTGGTCGGGCTTGCCTATCGTGATGAAGCAACCGAGCTATACTGGCTGGAACAACCGTTCCTCAAGGTCCTACCATGTCAGACAGGTCGGTTGAAGAGCGGTAAGACTAAAAGCAACAAACCCAAGGTCCGAAGGCGAAGTCGTACTGCTGACTGTACAGAGGTGTGACAGCAGTAAGGTGTTTCCTTCAGACAACCAGCATGACAGCGATGCTGCCTTCCCACAAGGAGGGGTGGGGTTAGAAAAGGTCGACCCTAAAAATGCACACCTCACCTTACCTCACGGATTTCCGTCTCCGGCGGTAAGGCCCTTTGAAGAACGGAGCTAACACGTCAAAACCTCCACGAAAAGGCCGTGCGCGACCGGCCTCAAGCAGTTGTCCCTTGGGCACTGCGGTCACGCTCTCAGGTCACTGAGACCACCTCTAATCCAATTTCCTTTTCAGGTACCTCCAGAAGAACCCTTCCACGGTGTGGGCAACCGGGAAGTGATAACCGCCCTCATACCTCTAACAGCACTCAAGACCACTGTATTCATAATCAACCTCCTCTTCAATTCCTATTATTCCTCCTACATCGACTTTCAACCCTAAACTTCCTCCTTCGGCTTCCTCCTCAAGTGTCACCATAGCCAACGATTCTAGTGCTCAAAACTCTGTCCCAGGTCTACTGAAACCTCGCTCCAAACTACACATTGGAGCCTTCAACGTACGCACCCTATGTCAAATCGGTCAGCAGGCTTCCTTGGCTAAAACCCTAGAGTCTCTTTCCATTGATGTATGCTGTGTCTCCGAAACACGCATACAGGATTCCAGTGTGGTCATTCACTTGACCTCACCTCGGCAAAACGGAGAGCCAACGAGATACACCCTCCGTGTATCTGGTGACCCGATGGCCAGTTCTCGTGGACTGGCAGGTGTAGGCATAGCACTAAGCATGAGGGCGGAACAAGCACTGCTAGAGTGGATCCCCGTCAACAGTCGTCTATGTGCTGTTCGGCTGAACGGCTCCGTAAGAACTCGGAAGGATAGGGACACACGTCGTTGCCTTTTTGTCGTTTCTGCCTACGCTCCCACTGACTGCAGCTCAGATGAAGTGAAAGATGAATTTTACAGAAAGCTTCCTGAACTTCTTCAGAAAGCTAAACGCTCAGACATAGTACTCGTAGGGGGTACTTTAATGCTCAGATAGGTAGCTTAAACCAAACAGAAAGGCATTTAGGTGGATATTTTAGTATTCCGACACAGCGAACAGATAATGGTGATCGTCTGCTGCAACTGTGCTCAGACAATCGTTTATTTTTAGCAAACACAAATTTTAAGCATAAGGAGAGACATCGTCTAACATGGCGACCCCCTACACCAAACCAACGATGGACTCAAATAGACCATATTGCCATCAGTCATCGTTGGAGAGGGTCGGTAGAAGATTGTCGCTCATTCTGGAGTACCTGCTTGGACTCCGACCATGCCCTAATACGGGCACGCATCTGCTTGCGCCTCACTGGACGCAAAAAAGCCACATTAAAAAGACCCATTAGAACTGAGTTGAGTAACGAGAAAACCAAAAGTAGGTTCCAGGAACAACTGAGGTCACACTTAGGTAGTTGTGAAGACGAGGCTGACCCAGATGTTGCTTGGAAAGATACAAGCAGCTGTGGAAACAGCAGTGACATCTATTAGTGACTTAAACCACAGAGTTACAAAGAACCAGTGGATTTCTTCAAAGTCTATCACACTGATGGATTCTCGCAAACTCGTCCCATCAGGTTCCGAACATGATGAAGAGCGACAACAAATCAGATCTAGGTTAAGAAAAAGTCTAAGGAACGACCGTGAGCAGTGGTGGGCAACGAAAGCAAAAGAGATGGAAAAGGCGGCGACTATAGGGAACACAAGACAGCTTTACAGACTAATAAAAGAAACTGGAATTAATAAGTCAAGTGTAAGTGAGATTATTTCGGAAAAAGACGATACTCTCATCTGCTCCCAGTCCAGACGTTTAGAACGATGGGCGGAACATTTTAGAGAACAGTTCAGCTGGCCTTCAGCTACTCTACAACTACCCTCCATTCCCAGACAGTGTGAATGGAACATTGAAGTAGGTCCCCCAACTCTTGCTGAAGTTCAAAAGGCTATAGTTAATCTGAAACGAGGAAGGGCAGCTGGTCCAGATGGACTGGCTCCAGAGGTCTTTAAGGATGGTGGTCCAATTTTAGCGATTAGGTTGACTAATATTTTAGCTAAGATCTGGGAGTTAGACGTTATCCCATCTGACTGGTCGCAATCACTTATCGTCCCAATATATAAGAAAGGGTCAAAATCATCCTGTGACAACCACAGAGGGATTAGTTTAACTAATATAATATCTAAAATACTAGCCTCGATAATTATCAGACGCCTAACTAAGACTCGTGAACTAAAAACACGAGAGAACCAAGCTGGCTTTAGACCTGGTCGTGGCTGCATCGACCACATATTCACCATTCGTCAGGTTCTAGAACACAGGCATACTTATCGGCGTCCGACAATGGTGGTCTTTCTTGACTTAAAAGCAGCATTTGACTCTGTAGACCGCGAGATTCTGTGGCAGTGTCTGTCATTGAAAGGCGTACCTCAGAAGTACATAAACCTTGTGAAGGCTCTTTACTCGAACACTACTAGTCGAGTCAGAGCTTATGGCGAACTGTCATCTACTTTTGCAACCTCAAGTGGTGTCCGTCAAGGCTGTCCACTTTCTCCATTTTTGTTTAACTTCATCATAGACCTATTGATGGAAATAACATTCTCGTCGACTGAATTCTCGGGTATTGATCTCCATCCAGGAGGTCCACTTATCGACTTAGAATACGCAGATGACATAGTCCTGTTTGGTGAAGACGCTGACAAAATGCAGAGTCTTCTGGTAGCACTAAGCAACAATGCCAGAATGTTTGGAATGCGCTTCTCTCCCTCTAAATGCAAGTTGTTGCTTCAGGACTGGTCTGCGTCAACACCTGAACTAAGGATAGGGAGTGAAGTAGTCGAACGCGTTGACAACTTCACTTATCTTGGAAGTCTGATCAGCCCTAATGGGTTGGTGTCTGACGAAATCTCAGCACGGATTCGAAAAGCTCGTTTGGCTTTTGCCAACTTACGTCACCTTTGGCGAAGGCGAGATATCCGTCTATCAATAAAAGGACGAGTATACTGCGCGGCAGTCCGTTCTGTTTTACTTTACGGCAGCGAAACATGGCCTTAAGAGTAGAAGACACTCGTAAGCTACTAGTATTTGACCACAGATGCCTTAGAAATATTGCTGGCATCTGCTGGGATCACCGGGTAAGTAATAGTGAGGTTAGACGCAGGGTATTAGGGAATGATGGTAAATCAGTTGATGAGGTTATGAATCTTCATCGACTGAGATGGTTGGGCCACGTATTACGTATGCCTGAACACCGATTACCACGACGTGCAATGCTAACCGGTATTGGGGATGGTTGGAAGAAAGTTAGGGGCGGCCAAACCAAAACGTGGCATCAGTGCTTGAAGTCACTAACTTCTAGTCTGAGCCATGTTGGTAGATGCAGACTACTTGGTTGGGGTCCGCGTGACTTTCGTAACCAATGGTTGGAGACTCTTGGTGACATGGCTCAGAATCGATCACAATGGCGTCGGTGTATACACTCCCTGTCTTCCCTTAAACTAAGAGATTAAAATCACTTCATATCTTTCTTTCTACGAACCAATTCTTTCTTCTTGTACTATATCTCTATATGCAATCTTCCTCTTATTTATTACCACCTTTGACCTAACCACTGCTATGAATCCGGTGTTCATCTTGTTGTGCTGATGCGGTATGGCAACCTGGACCGATGCACATATGTGCCTGGTCCTACGTTGTAGCTGACTGACTGAATAAAATCTAACAATCATATAGTAAATCCTAAATTTGCAAAATGTCCATCAATTGTCTTAAAATGACTCAGACTTCATTGTTCTTGCATTCTCATACAAATTGCACTCTGTTTCCATTCTTTACTGTTCGATCTTCTTGTCTCTCCGCTGTCAGATATTCTGTTCATGACTAACGTCATATACTACTTATGTCGATATAAGTAGCACATACCACACTACTATATGACCATGAGACTGAACTAGACATAAAACATCTAGTTTAACAGGAATAAATGAATATGAAATAGTACGAAGCTCAATTTAGATATATCATAAATTCCACTTAGCCACTGTGATAGATTTTGGACTGTCTTTTAAAATCACACTTTTATTAGGGAATGTTTGACAGTATTCGTCCAATCAGTAACAAACAACTTGACATTAATGTGTATACGATTGAAGTTGTTACACGAAGGGAAATGAAAAAACATGCCAAATAGAGCAGTCGGAAAAGTGACATCGGAGTCTGACTGTTTAGTCAAGTTTCAAAGTGACGTTTCCTGCAGCTAATATCGAAGTGAAATGGCGTGGTTTGATATGTTAAAGATTATCATTTAGGTGGTAAGGGATTCGTGTAAAGATCTAAGTAGTGTGGAAGTACTTTTTGTCTGGTTTCCACGTAGCATTGGAAGTAACAGAAGAGTGGTCAAGTTTTAAAAAACGATTGGTTTAGGTTAGTTTTTTAGCATGTCATAAGCTGCTTATTATAGCAAAACTGGTTCCAATCATTATTTTTCAAAAAATAACACTGAGAGCAATATGGTCTCATTTGTATGCTCATATCGTAAACAAACACTTTATATAAGGTCAGGAATTTAGTTCTAACACTGACGAATTATTCGTAAACTGTTTTAAGTTGTTTCTACAGATAAAGAATACTTGAAATATATTACATATGTTGTCTCCAAACAAATATAAGAAAAGCACAATTCATATAGAAAGTACTGAAACATACCGGTCTAGGGTGGAGGGTTTAATTAATCCCTTTCGTTTGGCTACTTCCTCCTCGATGTACTTGATCCTAAAATTAAGCATCATAAAGAATGGGGAAGATTACATTTCGGCATCTTCATCTCTCTTATTAGTTTCTGTGGCGAACGTTTTGGCTAGACGAGCTTCAACGTCATCATCCTCTTCGGATTGTTTAGCAGATGAAATACTGTTTAGGTCAACTAGACCACCAGTCTTAAGTCTAAATGGGTCGTTGGCGATTGTTAGATTGAGATCTGGGACTTCTTTACCAGTGGCTAGTGCAGACAAGCTTACTCCAGCTGGTCGTTTCCTTAGTTTTTGCAATTCTCTTATTGCTTCCACAACTACTGTGGAGTCTGCAACAACAGGTGCAGTAGAATCTTCGAGACGATCCTCCTCAGAATCTGAAGAGACACTCAGCTCTGTGGTTTGTCTCAAGCATCGCACCTTACGCGACTTCATGTGACACCTGAATGGAAAAAAATGAAGCATTTCTTAAGACTTGCTAGTTAAGGAACCTTCAAAACCTTGATAGACTTGACAGCATTTTTTGGACGTTGCCCGTAAGATGATTGTACTTGAGTGATTTTAAGTGGATTTGAGACGCTACCTAGAGAGGAACTGAAAAATGACCGAAATATTCATCTGGAAGGACTTTACTAACAATCGGCTAACAACTTGCGCATTATGACTATTGATAGCTGTGAGCCTCAGTAATTGTGTTCACATTAACCAACGAATCTTGCTGTATTCCGACAGAACATGGGTACATAAATTTCACCTACACCTGAAGATAATCGGACTGATGGTCTCAGAACTTTGGGTAGATCGTACCCAGACAAATGAGATGGAACGATCCCTTAAAAGGACCAAATTTTCATGGATTCTTATGGTGATAAGCTACAACCTACCTTCACATGTCATTAAAAAAATAACAGTTTCGATTTCTAACTCAGTAACTGGTTCCCGAACCTTTCAAGACTGCTCGAAGACACATATTGGACTTTGTCAGGGGATTGGCTTAGACTTTCAGGTCCACTGGGGATTGTCATATACTAAATGTTCACTTCCTGGTTTACACAGCGGAAAACTTCATTGTTCCAGTCTGCTGGCAACCCAAGCTGCCAATTTGAGGAAAATTTGGCGCATTTTGGGGAAGCCGCTATGGTAAATTTTGGGGAAATGGCACAAAAACCCCAAAATTTCTCCAAAGTAAGGAGCTTGGGATAGTTAACTTACTCAGAGACATGTCTAATATCCTTACCTTGTATGCCACTACCCGATGACTTTAGAATGAACTAATCAGAAACAACTTATTTCTTATTTTCGCCCCTTGATTTCGACGAAGACGCTTCAATATACCTATTTCTATATAAACGCCGTTAAAATAAAGCCTATTATAATGATTTTTTGAAGATTTGTATAAACTAGGACTGAAATGTGAGAAAACATAAAAAAGAACATAAAATGTCATGTAACAGTCTAATTACTCCTGAAACCGTCGAACAAATATAAACGTAACGCCAGAAGTTGTACTACGAATCTCTTTATCTCAATATCCAATGTCTTTGTGTGAGCTTGTCTAAACCTATTGATTGGGTGAATTTATCCGTGAACGCCACACTCACGAAACTGAGTTGCGTTTAAAAGCACTCTATTGATTTCTTTGAAATAGCTTCTGTCCTCCAATTTTCCGGTAGTTTTCCTCGACTTTACGAGTGTGAGAACATCACGCTAAGCGGCGTTTCCAAGATTGGGGCTGCTTCCCTCAGTATGGCGGAATGGACCATGTCCGGGCCAGGAGAAGTGTCTAATCTTAAGTGCTGCAGTTTCCGGAACACCAAGCCAGCGCTTAGGTTCACTTCGGAAAGTCCTGTGGAATTGCAGATGAAACTGTCATCAGTCAAGTTGATGTCGGTCGGTTGAAATGTCTGGGGGTAATGTTCAGCCAGAAGGTTAGTGGCGTCGCCATTGTTGTTGGTCGGGCCGTTAAGACCTACCAGTTGGGAAACTCCAGTTTTGGCTTGACGAAGAGAGGCTGCATAACGGAATAAGCTTTTAGGATTAGAGGCAAATTTGTCCATAAGCTTTGTCTGGTACTGAAGCCTATCTTCTCTTATAGCCTTCGTGCATATGTTCCTTATATGTTCATATTGCCTGTACGCTCCATCGTTATTAGTTCGTTTGTATTCCGCCTAACAGTGCCCTTAGCGGCTTAGCAGGCAAAGGGTACGGTTCTTGATTATTGTAGGTGGCTTGCAGCTTTTGGGAACCGTTTGAGAAACTGAATGGTTTGTAGCACATAAGAAGTCTCAATGACCGTCCACATCGAGTTGAGGGTGAACGTTTCAATCCACCTGTTGTAGATAGTCGTGTAGAGCTGGCACATTCAACCGTTTAAAATTCCAACGCAAGTTATTGGTGGGATAGCTTAGCTTAGTTTTCCTGACAAAACTGAAGGCTATGACGGCATGATCGCTTTTTCCCAGGGGAGCCAGGATTGAGAGGTTATCAACTAGAAATTCTTCGTTTGTGAATACACAGTCTAAGCGCGATGGTGTCTGAATGTTTCTCCAACGAGTTGCCGACCTCACTTTTTCGCATAATCCCAAGTCATCGATGAGGTTGAAGAACCGAGCTTCAATTGACTTGTCGCCTCCAGTATACGTGTGTTCTGCGAAGTTGACTCTAAGGAGATTAAAGTCCCCTAGAATCAGGATGTGTGGGAAACCGAGACGATTAGAGCGGGATAGTCCTTACAGCATACGACTATCGTACTCAATGTGGGCAGTTGGCCTCCTGGAAATGACTCCGACTAGACACCTCGAAGTACTAGACAATTTTACAGAGCACCATATGGATTCCTCAAGATTGTTAAACTCGAGGTTATAAACTTGGTGTACCTGCAAGCAAGAACGTATGTAAACAGCTACTCCACCCCCAATTCCTGATTTTCTGTCGTTGCGGAACAAAGACATCCCAGGTAATGCTAACTCCTGGTCCGAGAACTGAAAAGATATGCAAGCTTCAGTTATTTCTATCAGATGAGCCTTATTAATATTGCTAAGTTCACGTAGGTCATCCATTTTGTTTGGTAGACTCGTGGCGTTCACGTATACGCAGTTTAAGCTGTCAATTTGAAACGCGTGAGCTTCTTCCTGTTTGTCTGTATGAGCCTTACGTGAGTGGACAGGTAGCCTACCTATATAAGGTTTGCCGAGTTGGTAGGCCCTGTTCTTTACACATTTTTTATCGTCCGGACAGTCCACAAGTGGAATGGTCAGCTCCAACTTGCCTTTGTGTTTGGTTCTAGCTTCGTATAGCCTATCCGGGTGCATGTGGATTCCAGGTGGCAGTCGACGTCTGCTGTCACGAAATGCTTCCAGAGTTGCAGCTGCCATATGACAAGATGGGAAGGTTATGTTCATTAGACGGGGTCTTGGATGACCATCCTTCTTGGCTAGTCTCGTCACATGCTGAGTCAGTATGTGTTTGAGCCTCAAAGACTGTTTGATGAATTTCCATTCCCTGATGTCAGTTTTTGATTGAATAGGGTCCGTATTTTCCGGTATACCTTGCACGATTATATTCCTCCCGCGGAAAACTGATCGCGAGATTCTTTGGGGATGTTCCGGATGAGATGGCGCTCAGAATACGGTATGTCAGGCAGTATTCTTACATTCCCATCTGATTTCAGTAAACGACTCGCTAGTAAGGCTACGTGAAGTAGCCTCGGGTGATTTTTCTGCTTAGATTCCTTTCCCCGAGTGAGCCGTGTGACTGTCAAAGGCTCTATTCTTGGAAGTTCAAGTTTCTTGTTCAATTCTCCCCAGCACATCCTATCATTTTTGTCCTGCAAACTGAGAGGAAGGTCAGGGTTGTCTTTTATGTTCATGACTATGAGAGAGTCATCACGAGCCGTTATTGTCGTCCCAGGTTTTCCGGTGCGTTCAGGTTTAGCACCTTGTTGTTTGGGGGTCGAAGCACGTTTATGAATCCTTGGCTCTTAGTTTTCGCTTAACTGGCTTCTGTGTCTAGTAGCAGTGAGTCACCAATACCCACAGACAGTAACCTAGGTATATTAACAGTGGAAAAGGAAAGGGCAATCTGTAAATCACTGTAAGATACTATCTTTAGTCCTTAAGAATATGTCAGTTTTTCTCACAAAGGACTCCTCAAAAGTCGCTTAGACTAGCTCACCCGACAGGGAATTCCAATTTGGGATTAGAATCCCTTGAGTCTGTGTAAGTACGTTTGTTCACGAGCAGTGAGTTGAATAGGACCGACAGCTATCACCGCACCGGAAAGAATGTCGATCTATTAGTGTTAAGGATTATAAAGTCAGAATGGAGAACAGTGAGGACAAAAAAGTCAGAATAGGTAAAACAATGTTGTATGCAAACTGTATGAACAGGTTAGTCTCTTGAAAACTGATAGAGGGTAACAAGAGGTGGTGAACAGAAATAAGGTAATAATCACATAAGAATTTTAAAAGCGATAAGAATGATGATGGCGGTAATGACAAGGTATCGTAAAGATAGTGATTGCAGAAGTGCAGTGGCCAGAGACCTGACTCCCATTAGATCATAGGAATGATTGTTATTGAAATATACACATCACCAATCCTCTTATATTGTCATCGACTTGAATCACGTTAGTGAAGAACGGAATTAAATTTGCCAAATACGAGGATGGATATTGAATATGTGTAATTCATGCAGTTATTGATTTGAACAGGCAACCAGAGGGGCGAAACAGAGAGGGGAGATCGAACCAGACTGAAGAAGGCAAACGAGCCAACTCAGCCTAATCAAGTGTCAATCAATATTTATAGTCGGAACAATAATAATCTAAAGACATGTGATGAGTCGGACAAGCAATCAACACATATACAACCATATAAAGACAATCAGAATAAATAAGCCAATGAGTGACGAGGTCAAAATTTGATTTAAGAAGAATGAATAGATTGACTTGCCTGGAAGCTGTAATAAACTGTGAGGTCTTAACATAGCACATAACGTTACACTATCCCCCGCAGAAACAATTATGTCTCTTAAGAGTTGTTGTGTATCATCCTCACGTCCCAAAGCTCTTCCCAGTTTATTACGCTACGTACAGATAAAAGCTAGGGGGACTAAGTTTAAAAGGAAGTCACTGATAGGCATCAACAATCGTCCACTGAATTTTCTAACATTTTCAAAGTTAACCAAAGATGTACAATAGGCGTAGAGCGGCTTGGATCATTTCTGTCCCACATTTCGAATACTGGAAAGAGAATTACCGAGCTTCACTTATTTTGTTGCTGTTTAGAGTCTAGAGAGCAATTAAATAATTCACATATTTGACGATGAAGAGCTTGCAAGCCTTATGTCCTGTTTATTTTTCCAGTACTAACCTTGGTGTAACCTATCTGGTGGTTGTCACTATTATCGTTTTGGAAGATCTTTCATACCAACGAAGCCCTACATGTGGCTTAGCAGTTTTTCAAAGTGAGTGCCGTAGACTTTGATGGCATCTGAGTTAGTGAGGGTCTAATCTTAAATTCATGAAGTGATCGAAATTCCATGGCTAGTGGTTAACCTTCAGGGACATTAAGAGGTGCTAGTTCTTTGGGTTTGATCTTTGTTTCTCGCCCAGGTGCCTATGGTACAGCACCTGGAGCATCTCTTTGCGTTGATTATGACTTAAATGAAGGGCGATTAGTTTGTACAATCTACTGATTGATACTTTGGTCATTAAAGGATCATCAGATGAACACGAAATCGGTCATCATAAAATTACTCGGCGTTATGATCTTGAAGTGACTGCCGATATGTTGTTATTTCGTCCCTTGTTTTGTATTACCTGCCACACCTGAGACGTTCCATGTCTTGAATATCTAGTTCATCGACCATGATGTCATGGGTGTACCAGGTAGTAGTGAAAACTCCAATTCTCAATTCGAACCTGAAGCATATGTTTATGGACTTCTGTTTTTCTCCACTTGGCCCCCTTATTCCAATTCAGCGGCACGAAAAGCACATGTAGAACAGATACTAGTTATCGAGTAGCCAAAGAATAATTAGAGGCTCAACTAACACTTAAAAGCAAATATGAAGATCAAGTCTTTTCATATTCGATATCGCTGCAGTTGCATTAACTCGGGCACCCATGTCTTGTGTTGTAAGAGGGGAAGACAAAAATTACCAAAATACCATATAGAAGCGCGAGAGCACACTATTCACGGTAGTCAATTATGAAAAACAGACAAGCTGGACACACATGACAAGACGGAAGACCTCAAAGATAATTGGTTTTGGTTATCTGCTGAATAATGTTATATATTCACCACTGAACACTTTCAGATTGAGGGCATGTGGCATGATCATATAACTATGTGTGTACCAAACACAATTAGCTTTCTCTGTAGCTCCCCGACTTTGCCATATAGCTTAGCTAACAAGACTTCGAGCTTCCTATGAGGGTTACGATCCGGTGAGGAAACGACTGCCACGCGATTTAAATAAAGACCTGCTCACTACCAGTCTGATTTCTTCTATTATTAGAACGAGGGTTACCT